ACTGTCTTAGCGGACAGGAACTTAAGCTCGACTGAATCCAGCGGCTCAAAGGGACCCCTCTGAAGTCCAGCCAGGACGGTAGAGAGATCCCAGGAGGGCACCAGACCTAGGAGGATTTAACCTTCTGGCACCCCTCAGGAACCTAACGATCAGGTCATGCTTACCCAGGGACTGGCCGTCCACTGCATCGTGATGTGCGTTTCGTTGATGTACGAAACAGCCACAGTGTTGTCTGTGCAGACCAACACGTGCTTGCCGAGCAGCAGCGGCCGGAACTGCCACATGGCTAGATGCACTGCCAGCAACTCCAGGCAGTTGATGTGCCAAAGCAGACGAGGTCCTGTCCAGGACCCCGAGGCTGCCTGCCCATTGCACGTCACACCTAAGCCTGACCTGAAGGCATCTGTTGTGACAACGACATACTGGAACACCTGTTCTAAGGGCACCCCGGCCCATAGAAAAGCAAGGTCTGCCCAGGGGCTGAACATGCAGCAACACATCGGCATGACGGTCATGCTTTGTGTGCCACGGCACCATGCCCATCTTGGGACTCAGGAATGTAACCAGTGCTGAAGTGGTCTCATATGAAGCAAACTGAACGGCGTGACTGCAGCTGTGGATGCCATATGCCCCAGGAGCCTCTGAATGTGTTTTATTAGAAACACCGTCCTGCCTCTCAAGTAACTCGTTTGGAGGGGCGCGCTGTCATGCTCACCGAGTCTAAGTCCTTACAGAGAAAAGATATTCTCTGCACAGTGGAGAGCTTGCTCTTTTTCCCAGTTAACCTGAAGCCCCAACTGGCGGAGGTGCCGGAGCACCAGGTCCCTGTGATCGCACAACTGTTCCTGAGACTGAGCCATAAGCCAGTCATCGAGGTAGTTGAGGATCATGTTGCCCACTTCCCATTATGGGGCAAGGGCGCCCTCCACGATCTTCGTAAAGACACGGGGTGACAGGAATATCCCGAAGGGGAGGACCCTGTACTGCCATGCCCGTTTGTCGCCTGGCAAACTGAATCGTGTAGCCAAGTCAAACTGTCCGAATGAGCCAGCAGAATGGGCTGGGTAGCGCAAGCCACACCCCGTGCGAGTGTCACCAAAGAGACAATTGACATATCCGCGGTGGTGCAGCGGTGAGGAGTCATGCTGGATAGCCCAGAAGGCATCACATTCTGGCTCATCACGGCAGAACTGCCCATGTCCCTGGAGGGACCGGCCAGAGATGTTTGGGGAGGCGTTGCGTCCCCAAGCTGCAATCTCTTGGCCACTGGCCATAGGGGGCGTCATGGGCGAGAGTGAGGAGGCAGTGCATTGCTCACTGTCAACCCACGAGCCTGGTAACCCAGAGGAAAGGAAACTGCTCTTTTTTTTTTTACAGAACGAAAGATTCTCTAGGCCCGGCCCTCCCCCGGGGGAAGGAATGGTGCTGTCCTCGCCACCTCCAGAGAAAGAGCAGCTTCCCACATCTCTGGGTTGCCGGTGTCAGGGCCACTTCATCGACTTTTTAGCAGACCTAGGGGCTGGCTGGGACACGGGGGTTCCGCACTCCTGCGATAGGCTCAACGCGCCGACCTTGATTTTGTCTCAGCACAGAGCGGAGCGGCTCTGGAGGACACAGGAGGACACCCACAATGATGAGCAGACTGAGGCGTAGCCCACGACGAAACGGTGGCAGCTGGAAGATCACGTCAGGGCAGGATGTGCAGGATAGTCTCAGTCTGCTTCTGTACTGCCGAAAAATGCTGGGCAAAAGTCCTCGACAGTGTTGCTGAACAGGCCAGCCTGGGAGATGGGATCATCAAGAAAGTGCACTTTGTCAACAACTCTCATCTCAACCAGGTTGAGCCAGAGATGTCGCTCTTGGACGTTGTCTTCCTGAGGGATCACACCGTGACTTTCGTCGCCCGTAGAGCGAAGTCAGTCGCTGTGCGCAGCTCCTGCATCAACCTCGGGTCAGTACTATCCTCGTGCATTTGTTTTAGTGCCTTGGCTTGGTGGACCTGCAGGATCGCCATGGAATGCAGGGCAGAGGCGGCCTGACCCGCAGTGAGAGTTGCTGGCAGCTTACAGCTTTTGGAAGGGAAACGAGGACGATTTCTAAAAGTGGCAGTGTTTTGAGGGCACAGGTGCACTTCAACCGCTCTCTCCACCTGGGGAATGTCAATGTACCCCTTAGCTGCCCCGCCATTGAGGGTAGTGAGGACGGAGGAAGGAGACGAGTGGTTTCTGACCATAAAAGTGGCCATCCACGACTTCGTCACTTCCTCATGCACCTCTGGAAAGAAAGGAACTGAGGCTGAACGTGGTCGAGAGCCACGGCCTGCACCGAGAAACCAATCATCCAGCCATGAGGACTTCAGACTGCACACCTCCTGCCCGGGCAAGCATGGTCGTCAAATCTGGGTCTGATTCGGCAGTGGCGACAACACCCGAGGGGGGCAGCCCCACTGAATCTTCAACTTCGGAGGACGATAGCCCATCCCCCAATGCTGCTATTGACATCTGATCCTCAGGCAGTGCACCGAATGAAGCACTGGGGCCACTGTGAAGTGGGCGAACAGAATTATCTGGGAGAAACATAGAACAAGCGCAGGGGGAGGAGTAAGAGGTCTGTGGGGACTGGCCCAGCAGAGAGGCTCTTATTGTAACCCTCAATCTCCCAGAGCACTAGCTGGCAGTCCTCTGCTCGTGGCAGAGAAACCGGAACGGGTAGTGACAGAGGAGTCTCGTACTTTCCTTTTACGAAAGCAGAGACATGCACGTAATGCGGGGCATGAGCCATCCACGAATGCGTCTTCAGCATGTTTGATGCCCAGACACAGAAGACAATGCTCGTGGCCGTCATCAGAGGATAGGCGATCAGCTTTGTGGAGATGAACCAAATTTACCCACTTGGCTCCAAAGCAAAAATCTGAATGAGTGGATGCACCTGTCACCTTATATACCTGTATGCACGGGGAGTGGCTCAGCATGCAAAATCCACTAGCCAAATTTCATTGGTGTTTTCTCTTAAAATCAGTAAACCCCTAATGTTGTCACAACATAACTCGTAGTGACGACAGATAGGGAACTGTGGGGTCTGCTGGACCAACAAACCTAATCCATAGAGATCCACCTCAGCTTGCAGGACTTAAAAGTATCTCCTGTTAATATTTGGGTGTCAAGACCACAGGACACGTTCAGAGGTCTTGTGGAGTTGATGTTTCAATGAATCAGAGCTGTTCTAGCAGCACAAGGGAAACCTACACAATATTGGGAAGGTGGTTTTAATGCTGTGCCTGACCAGTGTAGAAAGTGTCATAAATCACATGTGCAGTACTGACCCATCAGTCTTAAGGAGCTAGGAAGCTATGAAGCTAACTTTATCATGTATATTAAATATTGTTATCTCTCAAAACCCCTGAAATTGACATAAGAATATAACAAAGCAATGTCCAGAACAATTAAACACTTGAGTGTCTCTGGTGTATCCAATAGTTTATTTGGGTGACAACAGTTTGACTAAAGTATGAAAAACGGAGTACATTTCTGGTACATTAGCAGTACAGAAAAACACACTTGGATTCATATCCACATCCAAAATAACCATGCATAAAAATAGGCATAAAATCAACTTAAAACAGTAATTGTAAAGAAAAAAAAAACACAGATAAATATTAAGGCATAATCATTGATCATTTGATCACCCAGAACAGCTCTAGAACCGAAATGTCAAAAAGGACAGATAATGTTTAACTGATAAATGGCTTTTCACCTCATAGCACAGCTTGCAGATTATCAGCTACATAAACCAACAGTGAAATATTCAAACAGCATACATTTTTATGAATAACAGTTCTTATTATGTGAAACAGTGACTAAATTCTTCATATTTGAACCAGAGACTGAAAACAAAATATTTTCACAAAATATCATGATTTCCAACTTAAATATTCAAGTCACAAATAACAGCAAATGCATGTTTCTCATCATCATTAGCATATATACATGTTAAACTGTCAGCTGTTCATGGTCCTCATTATAACTTTTTGATTTGAAGTAGTCCAATGCCAAATGAATGATCAGATTGGCATATTTTAAATGAATCACATAATTTTGCAGATTCAAAGGGTTGTTAGTCACACATCTTCCTTCAATAACACTGATTAATTACTCCTCATGAAACAATAATTACTCCTCATGAAGTGCTTTGTGCAAAAACTCAAAGTGACACTGGCCTTCTGACCAGGAAAACACAGTAAATCAATTGGAAAGGAAGCACAAATATACACTCAGCATGGAGTTTGCATTTTGATAAAGGCACATATATTAGCTATGCCATTCAAATCACCAGAGCAACTTTGGCTTTGAGAAGATTGTTTCCTGTTCACCAACGTAAAGCTTTAAAGTGCAGATTATCTGTAACTATGAACAGAGGGTGATAACTGCTTTATAAATAGTGTGAGTGAAGATTCAGGGCCTCCATCACCCGAACAGAACAGCTACAGCAAGAGTGTAGTTAGTGTGCATATTTATATACGTATCTACTCATGTTTGGCATAGTCTCCTTTTTTTTTTTTTTTGCATACAATTTCCAGCAAATAAAATAAATCTAGCATTATAGGATGCTTTAAAAATCAGTATTGGTGCTGCATCAAGCTATGAAATAATACTGCAAAATAATAGTGCCAGTTTGTCTTAAATATTGTACAATTTGGATAAAAAAAGAAAATACTCTAAATGTACTAAAAAAGAAACATGCTAGTATGTAATTGAAACAAAAAACTATTTTTCCTGAAAACCCTTTTTAGAATTTCTTTATACATGAACTCAGAACATACAGTAAATAGAAGTGTGTAATATTTATAATGTAAAGGATCCATGCATATGTCTATGGTGTTAAGGCTTTTTATCTTTGGTAGCTTAAAGGCATTTAAACAATAAAGTTTGTCACTGAGTACTTGTATTTTGACGCTGTGTGAAAGAGACACTCATGCGATAATAAACGTCTGAAACGTCCAGTTTATATTTCACCCAGTTTAGTTTTGGGTTGAAATCTAAGATTGACGTTTTGACCGACATTTCAGCTGCCAGACTTTCACACAGTGTTTCATACAGATCATAAACAGTCTGTATTTATGTTTGTAGTGTCTTATAGAGACACTGGCAACACTAACAGAGAACAATAATGTAGAAAGCATGAGAAAACCTAATTGTTCTTGTAGAGTGCAAGTGTCATTCTGCATAGACAGAAACTGAGTTACAGCTCATATGGCTTTAGGTAGATCTAAATACATTTAAACATTATCATACTTCATATATCTTGTTATATTATACAAACTTTTCCTTTATGTAGGCATATCTCAGAGGTCACATGACTGAAAATGAGGGCTCTGGGTAACATATCATGGTTGAGGAAAACCCCAAAACAGTGGATGTGGTGTGAAAAGACTATCCAACATAAACTGTGAGATATTAGGAACCAGTGGCGTGTGATTTTGTGTTGAAATAGAGAGGACTGGTTTGAGACATGGGCTGAGTGAAAGCTTTCATGTGCTAGTGTCAAGGTCAGGAGAGGTCAGGCAGGCCTGTGTTAGCTCAGACAGTCTGAAAACACCTCCATCTTCACTGGCGTGGCGGCTGTAGCGGGACACGTGCACTGCTCGATGTTCGGGCCGTTCTGGCTGAGCTGGATTTTGAGTTTTTCCAGCTCGTAGTTGTGCAGGTACTCTTGGATGAGGTAGCGCTCGCGCTTTATACGGGCTTTCACATCTGACGGCACGTCGGGGATCAACCACGCCACAAAGAACTTCACCACAAACACCACATGCTGGAGAGAAGAAGAGTATTAGGACAAGTTTAGTACTTATTTCAGCACTGGTGACAAATGTATTGGAGATAAAAATGTTATAAACCGATAAATTTATAGAATTAATGAAGCAATTAGTCAGGGTGTAACTTCTTTATCATATTATTATTACTATTTTAAATAGAGGTCGACCGATGTGTTGGTTTTGCCGATTAATCGGCACTGATAGTTGATTGCCGGAATTATCGGCTATCTGCAAAAATCCATGCCGATAGTTTTCCGGGTTGCTTCCTTTGCTGGAGCGGCTGAGAAGGGTCTGCTGTCATTATATAGTACGAGGCGGAAATGCTGAACAGCATGTGCTGTTTGTTTTGACACATGATAATGTAAAATTGTGTATTGTGCATTTTTCAGCAAAACGTTTGTCTTTCTGTGGCTCTAAAAGTCTGAATGCTTTATATAGAGAGCTATAATATAGATTGTGCTTTCTTTTGCGGTTTGCTCTGATTTTTTTCTGACCGAAATTCAAACTAATCTATGTCACATTGTTCATTCTTGAAGTAAACTTTTGCCTGTTTGGGGATTAAATCAACTACTTTAGACTGCCGCTCAAGTTGAACGTAACGCGTCAGTCAGGTGTTTGTGATACCTGCAAGTTCTCCTAGACACAGCACTGTGCTTTTGCCCAGTATGTGACATTATATATATATATATATATATATATATATAATTTAATTTTTTCCAACATTTACTATTACAAATAAATTTTTTTACATTTTAAAGTTTATTCTGTTAACATTAATTAAACTGTGAACTAACTGCACTTGTAGTGTATTTCAAATCTTAAAAGCAAATTTTTAAAACAACTACTTGCAGATAATATAATATTAACGAAATAAAGACCATTTAAGTGTACTTAACTATGACTGTTTCTATGTTTCTTAACATACTTGGATACAATTTAGAAAAGATCACGTTGCAATTTCAAATGAAATATTTTACTGATTTTTTTTTTTAAAGATTTGTATTTTTATCATATTTTCACTTTATTATCATAGGACAGTGCAGACGTGACAGGAAGCGAAGTCGGAGAAGAGAGGGAAAGGTCCTCGAGCCTGGATTTAAACTTGGGACGCCCATAGCGTAACTGCACTGTATGTCGTCGTGGTCCCACGATGCTATTGATATTTTATCATGCTTTAAAGGGCACTTATTTTGCAATGTTTACTAATATACTAAAGCACATGCAAACTTTTATAATTTTAACTGTAGTGTATTTGATATTACATTTGAAGTTATCACATTTTAAATGTACTAAATTAAAACTGCATAATTTGGGCAAATGGGCAATATTTAAATGCATGTTTCAAAAGTAATTATGAAATTACATATAAAGAAGTATTTCAGTCCTACTTAAGAGGTTCAAATTCAGTTAACTGCATTTATTTTAAATTTAAACAAAAACATTTTCATTTTATAATACATTTCTAATACATTTTCAATTCAGTTAGTAAGTATGTATGTTCTTTTAAAGCATGCTATAGTGTCTTTGTTTTTGACACAGGCATCAAGAGAATTTAAGAGCTCATACCTCCATAATGATGATAAAGGCTAATTTGGCAGCGAGAATGTGCCAGAACTGCATGGTATGAGTGTACTGCTTCTCATGTCCTGGAGGGTAGCGGTAGTCACGGTACCTACAGCATCCACACAGCATTCATGTGTATTGTACATTTACCAGTGTCACAATAAATCTGTCAATTAAAAGATACAGTAAAAACATACACAACCGTACCTGCAGGTGGTGATGTTGGAGCTGTAGAACCAATCCGGGTTTTCGCCATCGTCTGGACGGTTTTCCGGTTGGAACTTTGAGATGTTGAAGACTGAAAGGCTGTTGTTGATGTATCCTTCCATCGTGCTCTCATTACCCTGGTGATACGCATACTTATACACCAGCCGAGGGATCATGTCAGATGTGAATGAGACAATGAAAGCCTGAAAGACAAATAAATGACATCTAATACTGTTACACAACCTACTTTGATATTTCTATTCAGGATAATCTTCATTACCAGTTTAGAAGCAAATTAAAGGCTATAGAATTATTGAAAATAATACAGTAAAGATTTAAGTAGGGCTGCCACTAATGATTATTTTGGTAATCAAGTAATCTGTTGATTATTCGGACAATTAATCGAGTAATCAGATAATTATAATCATTTTTTTTTTGTGGTAATAAAAATAGACCTAAGCGAACAATAGGTTTTAAGATGACTTAAATACAGTACATATATAATATTATACAACAGTTCGTTCTGGTTCTCAAATCTGATGATCTTGAGATCTGTGAGATATTGATCGAGCGATACCGGCTCTATATCAGCGGCTGTGATTGCCTCTGGCCCCATGCTGATATAGAGCCGGTATCGCTTGAGTACTCGAGTGATATTGCTCATGTAATGAGGCAATAATTAGTTCAAATAAAGTATCAAAAGCGAGTAATCATATGGTCTTATTGAACAAAACTGTTAAAATATTATGTATTACAAACAATATAGCTAATGTACAATAGATATTATAACAAATGCTTGCAGAGGGTGCCAACGGCCTGACGATTGTTTTTACACTTTACTGCGCGATCTAATCCTTTGATTAATATTGACTAAACATCATTTAATTCAAATGTCCACTTAATCTTTAATATTTGTCCATTTCTTTATGACAGAAATGCTATAGCCACTGTAATTTCTTGAATAACTCAAGAGTGACGGTTAAACTTTTATTTTGAAATCGCTATCAACAGTTAGTATCTTGAGAAAGATACTGATGTATTCTCCTGTGTTTGCGTGGATTTATAAACAATTTACCTTACAAATCTGATGAAATGGCACGTTGCGTTCCCAGATGAACGTTATAATAAACCCAAACTCACAATATGCAGAGATGGAGTTTGAGATGCTCCACACATGTAAATAATAACAGTTCAGAGCCGCTCTGAGATGCACGTATGTAAACCTGCATCGCATATATTTATTTAAATCGTAGCGTTTGTGAATTCACAATTCGTGAATGGGAAGTCGTGGCCTAATGGTTAGAGAGTCGGACTCGTAACCCAAAGGTTGTGAGTTCGAGTCTCGTACCGGCGGGGATTATAGGTGGGGGGAGTGAATGTACAGCGCCGCAGCATAAATGGCTGCCCACTGCTCCGGGTGTGTGTTCACGGTGCGTGTGTGTTCACTGCTGTGTGTGTGCACTTTGGATGGGTTAAATGCAGAGCTAATCCATACTAATTCCTAGTATGGGTAACCATACTTGGCCACATGTCACTTCACTTCACAATAGCATTATGATTTTTAAATGGGTTTTATATAGCATGCAGCCATGGAAAATGGTCTAATAATGCGTTTCATGGATTCTCGTACGTGAAATGTGCCACTTTCGGTATTTTGCCAGTTACTCGACACGGGCAAAATTCAATCGAGGATTTTTTTAAATCGAGTACTCGGTTGAATCGAGGAATTGTGACAGCCCTAGATGTAGGTGTACTAAAAATTAATATAAGCTGGTTCTTGTTAATGAATCAGTCCAAAAGACTCACTGAACAATCAGTTTGAATTGTTCAACTAACTCTGATGCAGTCAAAGTGGTTCCCGACTCATTACTACAGACTCACATTGGTAACCACTGAGAAAACAGCGATCATGTTGAGGATCTCGTTCCATGCGCCGATGTTGTGCACTTTGGCTGCCACGGGCCGGCGGAACTGAGTGGTGAATTTCCAAGCGTCCACTCGCACTTCCAAGATATTATTCATCAGAGCCAGCAGAGGAGCCAGCGGGAAAGAGGCCACAAACAGGGTGATGAAGCCAAACTGGATAACTGCAAAACAAAGACGAGATGAAATGTTTCTCCATATATAGACGAGCTACAGCGCCATCTGTCAGTAAGACTGAGTTACTGCAGGCTGAAGGTTTGTACATATAGAAGTTGATGGTGTATGGAGCCCCACACATGACATGCGAGAGAAAAAAATATGAATTAACAATTAGTTCCCATGACTTACTAATACGTCTACTATTTTTTATAGTAAAAAACTATTTTTTTTAGTTTTACTAATTCATTCCCCTATTTTATGTAAATCGTGCACATTTTACTAATTTGTTACCTCATTTTAGTGAATTCATGGGTGTGTTTTTCTAACTCCTGTCCGCAGTTTCATAAACCCCGTCCTTTTTTTGCGTAGTGAGAAAAGACTTCTATTGCTGCTGTTATAAAAGAAGTATGACAGGGCTGTAACGGGGATGTAGCCTATTCTCAAAGAGGGTGCATTCGGATATTCACAAATCATTCAACAAACACAACAGATTAGTAAATCGTGCGCATGATGTACTTAAAAAAAGGTGACAAATTAGTAAGTTGTACTCATGATTTACTTAAAAGGAGGTGACGAACTAGTAAATCGTGTAAACTAATTGTTAATTTATGGCCACAAAATATATATTTTTTCCTGCATGTCATGTCTGGGGCTCTGTATTGGTGAGTTAAAGTAAATCAGTGTTCATTAAGCTACTTTTAAACTGTAGTCAAGTTACAAGCTACTTATGGTTTAAAGTAGTTAAGCTACATTACTTTTAAATACTTGCCTTTAAAGATACTTTTTTTAGTATCTTTATTTTTTTAAGTAATTAGCAACACTAAAAGTTTTACAAGACTAACAACAAGAAAAAAGGAAATATTTTTTACCATTTACAGATCTTAATTAGGGTTTTTGTAGCAAAAACTCTAGTCTACCTCATCCAGTTCTCAAAAGTCTTGTGAACAAATGTAAGGGCATGTTTGACAGGAATGAAAACCAGGCTGCGATGGACAGTGGATTGTACTGTTGTTTAACAACATGCCAACTGATCAGCCGACGTTTCCAAAAAAACATTCAACAGACAAAAATTCCATAAAACTTTTAAGAAAAATGAAGACAAGTGCATGCCACTGCAAAGACCGTAAGTTCATCCCTCACAGCCTTTTTTTCCATGTTGTCTACCCTGACCTAAGTCTAGAGCAGATCATATCTCACTTAAAATCTGGACAATATTAATTGGGCACAAAAAACAACAAGGACCTCAATTAGGGTGACAGATTAAAAATTTAACCAGGGCTTTCAATTGATTAGAAAAATGTATTAAAATTTTAATTTTTAATTGCACAATATTTGCTGAGAAAAACGCTTAAATGAAGAGGTGTAAAGGCTTTGTACACTCAGCCATTTTTTATTGCAAACTAATACGCCCTGACAGAGTGATGGGGACCCCAGCACAACGCCGGCTCATTACACAGCAACATATGAAACAAATAAGTAAAGACTTGGGCATGACATTTTGTAGCCTGACTTTTATGAACTTTCTTGTAGAGATCACAACAAGTTCAACTACAAAGTATTCCAGAGAGCTGTGTAATAATTTAAAATATTGATTTTATTTTTTAGATATACTTTATGAATAGTTATTATATATATATATATATATATATATATGTGCTGTCAAACGATTAATCGTGATTAATCGCATCCAAAATAAAAGTTTTTGTTTACATAATATATGTGTGTATACTGTGTATATGTATTATGTATATATAAATACACACACACACACACACAGCATATATTTTGAAAATATTTACATGTATATTTATATAATTTATATCATATATAAATATATTTAATATATAAATGTTACATATTTTTCTGAAATATATACATGCATGTGTGTGTATTTATATATACGTAATAAATATACACTTAAGCCTCAAATGTCAAATATACATCGGATTGGTTTCTTCTTTAAATTATAAAAAAAAAGTAAAAATATGAAATGTTACACTAAAACTAAAACAATGATACTAACTGTTGATAGCGATTTCAAATATGTTATACTAAAACTAAAAAAACTAAAATACCTTAAGATAACATGTAGAAAGAAAAAAAAACATATCTTAAGCGTGCAGAATAACATAAGTGGACTTTGAACGATTAATTGAATGATTACGTAATTGTGGCATCCATAATTGTAATCGCGATTAGAAATTCGATTAATTGTGCAGCCCTAACAATAAGCACTTATCGCTGGGGTATATTTGTAGCAATAGCCAAAAATACATTGTATGGGTCAAAATTATTGATTTTTCTTTTATGCCAAAAATCATTAGGATATGAAGTAAAGATCATGTTCCATGAAGATATTTTGTAAATTTCCTACCGTAAATATATCAAAACCTAATTTTTGATTAGTAATATGCATTGCTAAGGACAACTTTAAAGCAGATTTTCTCAATATTTTGTTTTTTTTTTGCACCCTCATTTTCCAGATTTTCAAATAGTTGTATCTCAGCCAAATATTGTCCTATCCTAACAAACCATACATCAATGGAAGCTTATTTATTCAGATGATGTATAAATCTCAATTTCGAAAAATTGACCCTTATGACTGGTTTTGTGGTCCAGGGTCACATATGATAATGTAGTTAAACTAATGTAGTTTTTCAGCACTGATGTACTGTAGCTGCCGGACACTCACCCATCTCCAGGTACTCGTAGAAGAGGCCGAGCTGACTGAAGCTCTGCAGGTCATGATCCTGCTCCCAGCGGCTGTACAGACTCTCCGGATGATTACGAGCACTTCTGCTCACCCACCAGTTACACAGCCAGCTACACACAGACAGAGATACAGTGGTGTATTGTAACAAAGTAATAATAAGTACTGTAACGAAGTACGTATTTTTTGGAGAGTATCTGTACTTTACTTGAGTTTTTATATTTCAGCCAACTTTTACTTTTACTCCACTACATTTCTTAATTAAAATGTATACTTTCACTCTGATACATTTCCCCGAAGCATATTAATTTCTTACTACAAAATAGACAGAAGTCAGAAGAACACAGACTGCAGGAAAGCAGGTTTGACGAATCAGACAGTGGTCTGCCCTCTGCAAGTTAGACTCTTAAAAACACCTTTGCTCATGTGCAGACAAGTGCGCGCACAACCGCGGATGATTCATTTTCCACTCAAGTCAAGTCTGAGGCGTGCGCTATACAGTATATCGTCTGCGATAATATGGTAAGTGTTGTTGTAATGATGTGTGATCTGACATTATCAAGTATATCACAGAGAGTGCACGCACGTGATTTATTAGTCTATTAAAACTCAAAATTCAAGGCATTCTAAATTGTAGATGGCAAAAATGCTTCTGTATGCTTTGTTTATATAATTTAATATGGTTAACTTAATCTATATCACACAAAGAGTAGCCTACCGTTTTTCTGCAAATATCAGCATGAACACATTTAATAATCATTTTATACAAGTTCAGTAAAGCAATAAGTGACTTACATTTTAAACATAATATTGCTTGTCAAATGCTTTGTTTCGGAATGAACCAGCTTTTTGAACGAAACGGTTGAATAAATGATTCAGTGATTCACTCATTAACACAGGCTGTGTCCGAAATCGCCCCCTATACCCTCCTTCACTATTCCCTACATTAGGTCACTAATTCAGTTCACTAGGAGTGAATGAAAACGAGTAGTGAATTCGGACACTGAGTGCACCGGAAGGAATGCTGCTTTTGCATAGTTTGTGCTTGCTGTTTATTAATCATTTGAAACTAGCAAACTAGCAGCTCCAGTAGTAAGATTTTGGATTAATGTACGCCTCGTCTCTCTCCGTTCCTTGCTCCTCAGTCCGCTCAGCAGTGCACCCGTGACAGGTATAGGGGGCGATTTCGGACACAGCCACAGTCAAATGCTTTGTTTCGGAGTGAATCAGTCGTTTGAATGAATCGGTTGAATCTCAATGACTCACTCATTAACAGTCACTTGCTGCCACCTACT